TTCCTGTCATTGTTTTTGCAGGAGTTACTAACGGTAAAACCCAGAACGACTGGTACACAGACTACAAATCTCAGAACTCCCCCCATTTCATTATTATGAAATTAGTCACAAAAATCATTATCAAGAGCAAAATAAAGCTGACCTACAGTGAGGAGGATCCCTTTGGTCAAACAATGTGAGGGGAATAGAGTCACTGTTGTGACCATTAATCGGTGTGTGTGTGTGTGTGTGTGTATGTGTGTTACATTACAGCAATGCGTTCAGTGTAGCCGGGAGGAACTGTCTGAATGGATTACTCTAACAGGCTTAACAGCACGAGGAATACGAGCAATGAGCTGGGGACAAAAATCAGAGAGATGGATGTAATCATTACGTACTGCAGAGGAGGAACTAAAAGTGACGAGCAACGAGAGATAAGAAAGAGTAAAAGAGAATGTGAGAAAATCCATCGCAAAAACAGCAGATTCAGAAACAGATAAAAACAAATCGGTCATAGAGTTGTTAAGGTTGCGTAAGATGAACTGGAAATGCCTCCTTTAACATTATAAGCAAGAGTGGCAAGATTATCGCTTTGCTTTATGGAGCTATTGTGGGTTGACACGAGTTGACTGGGATGTGCGACTGCATGCGGCATGCAGCATGCTCAGTGTCAGTGTGCAGCCTTTGTGTGGACAGATGGTCCAGGCCAGAGGGGAGCTTTAGCCGCCTAAATCCCTTTGTGTCCTGCCTGAGGACACCCCCACCTCGGCCCAGCCTCCACACCTCTGTGCTCCGCTCGTATTCACAGCCGCCGCCACCAGAGCTCTTTAAAACAAGCTGAACAGCCGGATACGACTGGTCCAATGGAGCGGACCCTAAAGAGGATCAAATGTCGCAGTCAACGAGCTGATCAGGTCCAGAGGTGTGTTTCACGGCTCATCAGTCACCTCGTGAGATCAGCGAGGTTCAGTCATGTTTAGGAAAGTCCTCCTACTCAGACATTACATGACAGTTCATGTTGGAACATGTCAGCCTCGTGGCCCAAACAAGCACTAGTCACTTTCGCATAAAAGCCATCACGCCTAGTTATATTTCTGTGTCACTTTCAAAATGAGTTGAAATTAACATAAGATAAAGGAGCGGCAGCAGAAGGTCAACCATCCACATGCCACAGCTGTGACACTGCATGCCGCACAACCGCAACGTCGAGCGCTATTCCTGCTTTGGGGCCTTTGTTTCTCTCACTCTCACACACCAATGAGAACCGTTTAAGATACTTCATAGCGCATCCGTTTGTGGACGGTTAGGGTTTCATGCTGTTCTCGGTAGAACGTTGACAATGGAATCAAAAAGGCCGATCCATGAACCTTCTAGCTCTCATTAAAGACATTCCCTTGAGATGGACATGTTGGAACTTGTAGGTGGAAGGGAAACCGTTGCTGCTGTGAGAGGGTTGATCAGCACTGAGCTACCGAAGGTGGTTGTGAATGCCTGTGCTTTAACTGACCCGGACGCTTCCCCCAGACCCGATAATAACCGTTTCACATCACAGTGATGAAAGGAGCCCGTCAAACCGACCAAAGTAGGGCAGCGGAGCGGTGCGTGACACTCGGGTGTGAGCTGTGAGGAGGTGAAATAAGGTGTTAATAAAGGAGACAGAGTACAGGGAAGGAGACAGAGAGGGCCCACGGTGGAGGGCGATTCAGAGGAGAAGCAGATGGTCTTGTGCCGCCAAAAATGTGTGGTAATTGAAGGCGGCGACCAGACAGACCATCATCTGAGAAGTGAAAGTGAGAATCAACAAAAAACCCTCCACGTGTGTGTGTTCATGCATGTCAGCAACGACTAATGCAAACTAGCATTTTCCCGCTCATCAATGGGATTGTACTAGTTCTCCATTTGCTCTCGTACATTAATCCACTAATTTATCCTTTATTAAAAGGAGTAATACAGGATTAAGAATTACCCAATTGAATAAATACTAAGAACCAAAGTACTGTTCTCATCGCATCCCAACAGTAAACAACACATCTTTGGCCTGAAAAGGCACAAAAACTGGTCCCCTTTTGTATTGATACAATACATTAAAAAAATATATCAATCAATAATATAAAGATTTGTTATTGTTTTATAGAAAATGTTGAAATCCTAAGAATACAGTAATATCGCTTCAATCAGAAGTGAAACTGTAGATATTTAGAATCAGCTTTGTTGTTTGACCGCGATCATCCTGCAGCAATAAGTCTGGTAAAAATGGTGAGCAACAATCTCTCCAGCAGCTAGGCTGTAGACCCCCCCCCCTCCATCACCCATTTTCCTTCCATAGAGGTAGTGATGGCTAAGTGGTACACACGTCACACTGCGGTGGCATATGTCCCCCTACTATTGGCACGCCAAACATCTCCACTCCACAATGCTGCTGACACTAAAATGCATCTGGGGGGAGAATGCAGGGACTATTTCAGGCCCTGAATGCCAGCCAGGGTGTATTTATACCGCTGAGGGCCAATGGCATGGCGAGGGGTGATTGACCGGACCGACAAAGTGGCTCGCTACAAGGAGGAATTAAACCCGCTAATTAGCATTTCAGCATGGGACTAAGAAGCCTCAGTATCTACAAGGAGATTGGTGCACGGTTTGGAATAAGTGAGCTGTATTTGGTTTCAGCTTGGAGCGCAGAGACAGACGGGAGGAGGCAACACAAACTATGGAGAAGCCCGAGGCCGGTCTACAGGAAGTCTGGCCCCCTGAGTAGTACAATGGGCTGATGGAAACAAGGCCACGGTGCCACACAAAGAGCAGGGAGGAGGGGAAATCACAGCCTGAAATAAGCAAAGGCAGAGAATGCTACTTGACGTGAGTCACTGCCATGATGGCTGCCTAAAACTCAGGGATTTGGGCACGGACTTGACAAAAGAGCACTGGATCAGCTGGTCTGTTTTTTTCCTACACACGGGTGAGAAGTAGCTTCATGTACTGGCCATTTACACAGATTCTGAACCCGCCTTCCAACTAGGGCTGGGCGATTTGGGGAAAGTCAAACAGAAATATTTTGGACTAAAGATCAGACAAATATTGATAAACTTAGGGTTGCTCATTGGTGCTTTTACCAGGCAGCAACCTCCAGGTCATGAAGCCAATGGTTAAGCCACTTAAAGCTGCATTCCCTTTCATGTCCACCAGGGGGTGACTCCTCTGGTTGTGTAGATGTCTATGAGAAATCAACTCTACTTCAGTAAACATGAGTTTATGGTCTCGGCCTTTAGATTCAAGTCTCCTTTAATACAGCATAATGCCTGATGGTTAAATGATACCTTGTGATTGACAGGTTTCTAGGTCACTCCTCAGCAGCCAAAATATAGTAATTTTTGTTTACTGGTTACAAACAGCGAAGATGGTCGCGGCCAAAATGCCAAAATCTAGGCTTCAAACTGCTATCCAGAGCTCATCCGAGACGATAACAAAATAATAGGAAAGTAATTGATGCATAAGTATTATAGAAACTGCCAATCACATTACAGTAAACCTTATGCTTGTAAATAACAATTTCACAATCACAATTTCTTAAAGCCTGAAGTTATGTTACTTCAGCATGAAAAAAGGACTAAAACTATGAATCAATGATCAAGTGCAGCCCTCTTAAAGATGTCACTTCCAATGATCTCAACTACAATGTCAGCCATTGGTTTAATAGTCACTGTGAGTTGCGCAGGACTATTGTTGGGTAGATACTTGACTAACCTGCCACGGTCTCATAAAAAAGCCTACTCAGCAGTTAGGATGGCCTTCTTGATCGGGGCGAGACTCACACAGCGGACGAGTGAATCCAGCAGCTCTTCCTACCCGGCTCATGATGGAAGCAGCTCAGCAGGACTCCAGGTCGCCATGCTGCGCGCCGAGCGTTTCAACTCTCCTCAAAAAAGGAGTTTAGTTGAGTGGAGCTGGAGGATACGGGCCGGACTCTAGATTTGTTTACTTCAACAGAAGTAATGGTGGTCTTTGTTGTTATTTGAGAACCGCAAAAGAAATAAAAGTATACATTAGGGATAAGTAGATATAGATTTTGGCCATGTAGATTTCTTACCCATTTACTCAACCAGGCAAGTGAAAAGTAATTTCTACCTTGAGCTGCAACCAGATGGACAAAAAGTAGAGCAGAACCTTTTACAAATTGCTTCCTAATATTTGGATTTGTTCCCTTGTATTCTACAATAGCAGACACAATATTTGGGGATTTTTGCCTTTTGGTTTGACAAAACAAGACATTTGGAGGATGTGAGAAAAAAAATCGCAATTTACAGGCCTAATTAATTAACTTCACCCGAGTTAAGCCGCACAAACCAGATGCTCAGTAAGTGGCAGAGACTAGAGCTGCACAGCGTTTGGCATATGGACACAGCACGGTGGAATCAAAAACGCTTCAGAAATCTGGGAAACGGGTCACCAAAATAAAACAGATTTTGCCACTCGACTAGTGCATTTTGGAAAACAGGTCAATGAAATCACAGCTCACTTTCGCCACACACACACACTCTTTACTATTTTGAACTTTGGTACAGAGAGGCACAGACAGAGGCTGACCATCTGACTGATGTAACAACAGCTGAGACAACCCACTATGTTGTTAGAAGGTAAAGAGTGAATGAAATACATGTGAAATTATAAACAGGAGCAGTGGAGGCAGCTTCACCTTCTCACCTCTCATTTACTCCGCTCAGAGGAGACCTTTCCTACGCAAACTCTTTATCAGAGCAGCGCAGCCGGGCACGGAAAGGGTCAATCAGAACGTTTCAAACCGACACAGGAGACGGAGACACGAAGACGCCACCACCTTCCCCGTGGGACGGTTCGAGCAGCGGGGATCGCTGCCCTGACGCCCGCATGTAGCATTGCGCGGACCGGTGGTATTCATGTGCATTGCGCTGCTAACTTGGACGGATCTCCTTCAGTGGCCATGCAGCTGCTGTGGTTCCGTTCTCTCCTCAAAGCCAACGCCACGTGCCAGAACAGAGAGGTCGTACCTGCTAACTCGTCCGGTTCCAGTCCGGTGTCGGTGTCTATCCCGCAGATAGCAAAGTAGTGCGCGAAGCGGCAGGGCGCCGCGCCGGGCGCCGCGGAGCTCCCACTCATCCCGGCCACGGTGAGCAGCGCTGGTCCGCTACTGGTCCTCCAAGACCCGCATCTTCAGGGAAACCAAACGCTCCGCTCCGGGACGCCGCGTTCCGCTTCGACCGGGAGCCCACCGAAGTTGTTTCACCTGTTGTTGCGGTGCTGTTCGGCTTCCAGCGCCGTCGTGTCGGGGCTCTACGGCTCGCACTGCCGTCCGCGCCGGGCCGGGGGAGCGTTGTGTGGATCGCAACTCGGAGGAGTCGGCGGGCAGGGCGGGATTTTTGAATCTAGTCCGCCGGCGTGTTAAACCGATGCACATTTCACATGGAAGGATCTGACCAACAACCGACGAGGCGCCTCCGTGCCGCTCTGTGAACTCACAGTCGGTCACGTTTCGACCGCATCACCGTAAGTAGCCGCGGCTGCACGTGACTGCGCACCGCCTACGTCATCATGTAGCATAGTCCTCTTTGTTGTTGTTATTGTTATTGTGTTACACGGTGCTGCGCTTGTGCTCGGCATTAACAGGTGGTTGTTTTAAATGGGGCTGCAGTCTCTCTAACCACTGAATAAGATTACGTTCTGCTGTATGAGTCCATCATACAAATTCAAAACATGCAGCAGTGTAATTCAGAACCCTTTTATTTTGTGTTTAGTTGTCATCTTAACACGGAAACTTTATTTTGTACTGTTACTCATCTTTTCTACATTATTCACATGTATTATGTACTTCGAAAACTGTTTAAATACCGACAATACAAAAGGAATTTATTAAGAATTTTATTAAGACAACAATGAAGTGCACATAAACCTTTAGAGATCAGGTGTTTAAAAGAAATAATTAAAGGTGTTCAGACCCAACTTGATGTTAAAATGAGTGCCACAATCTTAAGCCATAGCTGTACTGCTGTCAATTTAACATGTGACCATTTCAAAAGTGTCAGCACTGCAGCATTTTAGATTTCCATAATTACATTTCTCCTGGATAAACATGTATTCTCACTCGGCTGGATGCTAATGACAGACATTCACAGTTACAATATTACTCGTAGAAATTGTATTTTGAGCTATCTACAAGTATATTCATAGATTGGCATTTAAGAGATGGACTAAATATATCATGTAGATATCTGAAATGTATAAACTTGTCATTATTAATAAATGATGATCACAAAGAAAAATATTAGATATCATAACATTTTTCTTTCTAGGAAAAGTTAAGTCCTATTTGCCGTTCCTGTGTATAAGACTTTCAATTAGAGATATATGAATCCATTCTTTTTCATTTTCTACTGAATTATGATAATTGGAATGTAGATATTGAAAATGGGAACTGTTCGTGGTTAGAATTATGTCTTAGGTATCCACAATGTTCACAAATGAAATTCTGAACATTCCAATACTGAAAATATAATATGAATTGAAGCCAAACCGATATAAATGGCAATGTTTTTTCTCAGAAAAGTGAGATGTCTGAAACGCTCATTATGACGTGAAACAATTTATTCACAAACATTTGAAATGTATATCTGATCTAGTTATTTAATGCTGAAATAAAGATGAACATGTTACAATAGACAGGTTACAAAAGATAATTTGATGCAGACGCTGGTCTGCATCAAATTATCACAGCCTATCACAGCAGCAGAGGTTGTTCTTCCTGAGGCAGCTGAAGAAATTCAACCTGCCAAAGACGATGATGGTCCACTTCTACACGGCCATCATCGAGTCCATCCTCTACTCCTCCATCACCGTCTGGTACGCTGCAGCCACAGCCAAGGACAAGGGCAGGCTGCAGCGGGTCATCCGCTCTGCAGAGAGGGTGATCGGCTGCAATCTGCCGTCCCTGCAGGACTTGTTCGCTTCCAGGTCTCTGAAGCGAGCTAAAAAGATCGCGGCCGACCCCTCGCACCCCGGACAAAAACTGTTTGTGCCCCTTCCATCTGGCAGGAGGCTGAGGTCCATCAGGACTACGACCTCCCGCCACACGAACAGTTTCTTCCCGTCGGCAGTCGGGCTCATCAACAGAGCCCGGTCCCCCACTGCCTGACTATAACATTCCACCGGTCACTCCCCTTCATACTGCACACGCCACTTTAACTGCAATTCATCACTTTGTCACTTGTCACTTTGTCTCTTGTCTGTTACTTGTTTGTTAGCGCACTTTATGCTTAATATTTTTCTTTTTTACTTTTTAATATTTAAATTTTGTAAACTTTATTCTCTTGTTTTATACTAACCCATAGCCTTAGCCTTATTCTACTAACCCATTGCATTAGCATTTCATTCCACTTTATTTTATTACTTGTGCACTGCTGTCTTGTCTGTCTACTGTCGCGCACTAATCGCCAAGACAAATTCCTTGTATGTTTGACATATTTTGGCTAATAAATGTTTCCTGATTCTTGATTCCTGGTGTGTGTGACCTAAAATGGAGATGAACTGTTTTTACAGCATGTTGTCCAATGTCCCCCCCTGGTGGTGAAACAGAGGAGCACAACGGGACAAACTGCACCGGTTGCCTTTGAAACATCCTATTCATTTTCACATTGGAACAATCTCTGTCATATAGTCAGACAATTACTATATCAGTGGTTCTCAACCTGTTTAATGATGAACCCCCTATAAAATATGTGATGACAGGGGATGCCAGGTTGGGTCAAAGCATCCTGGTATGGGGGATTTTTAGGATAATAAAATTGAATAGCGTACTGAATATGAAATCTAGTTCATGAGCCACACTTATTCAAGATTTCTGAAATAACTATTTTAAAAGGATTTTTTAATGGATGTTGATTTCTAAATTAATTTTAAAAAATCTTACATATCCACTGAAGTGCCTTTTGGTACCCGCATTTGAGAATCACTGTACTACAACATGAATGCATTTCTCAAGGAATTGGGACATTTATTCTTTTAAATTCCAAGCCATTGGTTGAAAGCCTTAGAAGACAGACCAGAAATACAATATTTCAGTCCACATGTTACAAAGGTTACCTTTGGGAACTACAAATGATGTTGAAAACTCTCTGTACTGATTCTGATGCATTATTGTATTGATAGAGCATCTCACTACAAAGACGTGGGCAGACTTTTAGGTTCTTGGTTGGCCATCACCCGCCATGCTGAAAGGTTCTGCAGACCAGCTTCAGGTCATTCCTATTGACATCTGTGACAGGGGTATTAAGGGGACCGAGGAGGGAGAGGAGCATTTCATGTTCCAGTTGTTCTTTGTGAGAGGAGGGAAATAAAGGGTCATAATTAGTTTGCCTGGATGTGGTTTGATGTAGATTTTGTGATGCCATGAATCATTTTATTACAGTGCATGTTTCTTTGAGGAACTCCTGGGTTCCAAGGCAACAATCTTTGTTGCCCCATTACGCTAAATATTTCTTGAATTACCTTTGTGGAGATTTCCATTTTCTCAATTCTTAGTTCAGAGATATACAAGCCTGCTGTTACTAGTTATACTGAATTGAGCTATATGAGCATATTTATGGGGCGCCGTTTAAATCTTTAAGATAAACGTAGATGTTAAATGTTGAATGCAAATGTTAAATATAAATGTTACATGTAAATGTTAAATGTAGAATGTTCATTCTACAGATCAGACTTGACAACTGAACGTACAATATTTACGGCAATTCACGCCGCAGCAAGACAAGCTGGCAAGTCCGAATTTATTAGCTCTTGTTATAAAAAAGGGGTGTCAAACTCATTTTAGGTAGGGGGCCACATACTGTCCAATTTGATGTGTGGCAGGTTCGTCCTACAGGGGGGTCTCGGAATGACGAGAATGCAGCGGTCTGTTCCATTGTACACTCTTTATTTTAGTATTCTTAAAGAATAATACACAGCCGGCTCCAGCCTCCTCGCCTCGCTCAGCAGCCCCCCGCTGTCGCCGGATTTCTCCTACTTAAAGGTACAACACACAGATTGATTAGTCGCACCTGAGGCTGATTATGCCTCCCCCGGCACCGTTCCCTGAACCACTCCCTTCTCCGTCCCCCCTGCAGCCGAGCCAAACCACGCCCGCCACCACTGATGTCATGCGGGAGGGGGTGCACGGGCGAAGATCGTCGCGCAAGCCCACTTTGACCGGACCATTGCCGATGATTTGACCGCAACCGTCCGCGCCCGCCGTCCACCGTTTGACCGCGGTCGACGGTAATAAATATTGGGCTTTTTTCTCCATATGATAATGCTAAATGTGCAACATTTTACAAACGGCGCCCCATACATATTAGCTGTGTCCGGCGCATGCTTCTGCGCCTGCGTCTTTATTGCCCGAGACTTTATTGCCCCGTGCATCGCCACTGCTGCTTTTCAACGCACACACATTTGTCCGGTATTTTCCTCCACAACTTTGTGCACCTCTCCACCGGCAAACCGGCGTTTGCGGCGATCTCCCTCCGTGAATCCAATCCGCTTCTACAAGCAGTCATCATATTTACGCATTTCTTCCGACAAAAGTTCTTAAATCTGGTCCGTTTTCTCGTAAACATTCTTCGTTTTAATAATGGCGGTGTTGGGCTATGAAAGCGGAAATGTGAGACTCCGTAAAGGACGTAGTTAGCGGACCAATCGCAGCCTGGTGCGCTGCGGGAGGCTTGCGTCGAAATAGCTCGAAGGACGCAAGGAATCAAGAAACATTACCAAAATATGTCAAACATACAAGGAATTTGTCTTGGCGGTTAGTGCGCGACAGTAGACAGACAAGACAGCAGTGCAAGTAATAAAATAAAGTAAAATGAAATGCTGATGCAATGGGTTAGTAGAATAAGGCTATGGGTTAGTATAAAACAATACTAACCCATAGCCTTAAATAAAGTTAAACATTTTAAAAATAAAGTTAAAAATTTTAAAAATTGAAAAAGTTAAAAAGAAAAATATTAAGCATAAAGTGCACTAACGAACAAGTAACAAAGTGATGAATTACAGTTACATTACTCCTTACAGTACAAGGTGTGAAAAGCGACGCAAGGGACACGCAAGGGGGGCGTCGCTCTGAAAACGCAGAAGCATAAATCAGGCTTTAATGTTATAACTAAGAGCAGTTTGTTCTTACGTGTATTTAACACAACTTCGATTCACAACAACGTCACGTAAGCAATTTCATGAACTAAGATGTTTTATATTATGACATTTATATTAGATATTCAGGTGAATTCTATTACTTAACGTTACATTTGAAAGTGAACTCCGCACTGTCGGCTTTCCTGCCTCCGTCCTAAATAAATCACATCCTCGCCGACTGTGCTGGGATATGCTGGGCCGCTACGGATCTATCAAATGTGTCCTCCAAACCGGCTCCTGGGGAGCTGCGTCCCTCGACCGCGTTCGGAGGAGCCGACGGAACAGGACAGCAGTCGCAGTGACGTATGTGGTCGACAAATGAGTCCTTAAGGATGCAGCCTAGCGGCATTGGGACACAGCTAATGAAACGGCATTGGACGTGCACCGCTCAGCATCAATACGTGTGGATATCTGCAATGGCAGCGTTTCGATCCATTTGTAGAATTCTTGATTTGAATG